CTTATGATGGCACTGAGTAACAAATAACTTCACCTCAGTTTTGGGACTAGTAGGCTAGAGACATCTGGTGAGCGGTAAATTATAAGCCATTATAAATAATGCATCGAATATACATGTACTTCCATCTAGTGAATATTCGTAATTATGGTTTAATATTTAAACGTGGTTCGTGCGGTGGCTTGTACTTATTGCCGTGTTCTTAAAATAGATGGCGTTTTAGTTTATTATTGTTTTTGAGACTTGAAATTCACAAAATATTTAGATTAATGGAACATATTGTTGGCGACCGCAATTTTTTTATTATTTTGAGTTGTTTCATTTCCCTATGCCGTCGTTTAAGCTACTTTATGGGATGGTATAAGGTCTTAGAGATTCTAAGTAATAAGATATATTATTTAGTAGGAGGTAGTAGTTAATTTTACGCCGCCACAACACGGCATTATCAAAACTCGCGGGGGCAAGGACGGGTTATGTCGGACTCGCACCGACTAAAACCCCATGGTGTTCCACCTTCGTCGCATATTAGCAGGGCCACGGGAACGTTTCGCACACATCCGCGGCCACATCTGCGCCGGCCGCCCTATGACGGCCTCTCCTCGGGAGAGGACTACGACTCCTACATCTCCTTCTCAGGTAAGGCGCACCAGAATACATGGCGCGCCCTCCTCCTCGGCCTCCAATTTCACATGCGCCACGGACGTCCTCCTGTCCGATGCGCGATGGCCATGGGGCCAGAAAAACTAGCACTCAGAAGCACCTGATTTCTCCGCGACTTGCAGCAGCCCACCGACACACATTATCAAAACCCTGCCTTAACATCATGATATCGAAATATTTTCATCCAAACAGATAAAGATTTGTTGAATATAGTCAATGGTTTTCCGCTTAGCAGGTAGTAAATCTATATATATATTAAAATCAATTGCCGCATGTGTGGACGGTCGTCACTTGACAACGGCTGGACCGGTTTTGATAAACACTCACACTCACAATTAGACCCGGTAAGTAGCACTGTCGTGCGAAGACACATATAATATTGGGATTACAAATGAGATCCAACTCACTTTTGTACCGTGTCTCGTGTCTGTCAAGAGTTAGTATTCATACCTATTACTTTTAACAAACAAACAAAACAACTATTACTTTTGAAAGTTTGCGAAACGAATATTTGCATCATCACTTGGTTTATAAAACAATTAATAATAATAATAGTAATGATTGGTATTTATTTTCTCCCACATATTATGATCAGTACATCACAATAAATTAGGTAACAATGAACTATAAAACTAAATAACAGCTATAAATATTAGCTAAATAAGATTTAGGTGGGAGACTGGTGTCCAAACTAGGTTGCCCTGTGCTATGGGATCACCAGGGCCTTCCTCAACAGAAGTGTTATTGCTGTAAAACATTTAATAATCAATACAGCCACGTGTAATAAAATTGCATTAAAATGTACTTGTTCGGTTTGGACAAACTGTGTATAAATTACTTATTAGGTATTATACAAAGAAGAAAACAAATTACTTGATCGTTCGAATAATAATATGTCTAGTCATATTTTATTTATATTTTAGACTTATAATAAAAATAAATAACTAAACAAAAACGATATCGATTGTTGCTAACATTGCGAACGAAATCACTATAGACTAAACAGGTCATGTCTTGTAAATTGACGTCACATATAATACTAGTAGTATGGAGATGTGATTTTTCTAGTAAATCCGAAGATACGAGTGTACTTACTCTCATGTTTGGCATAGTATAAAGTGACCAAAGATGACCACTTGACATTTCTATTTCCAAGCATAAATTACACGCAACATATTTCAATAGATTTGTCTCTTTTTGCCTTATTTGAAAATGAAATTAGGAAAAGTGAGACAAGTATACTGACTCAACTTATGTAAAGTTGTAGGTTCTCTCTATGCATCCGTATGTATGTAACCACTCTAAAGGCCTGTTTTCACTTTGATTAGTGCGAGTGCAGGTGATTAGTTTTGCGGTTGATTAGTGCAGGTGTGTATTGTAAGTAGTGTCCAATTCTGTTTAGTGGTTGTTTAGTAAATTCAGCTGTTAGCAGTCGACCAGGAAGTATGGACATTTTTTAACAGAAGTGAGCGTCCGACGCTAAACGCTAAACACTTAACTTCCCTATATATAATGTACTCTGTGCACTTAACACTGCTGTCCAAACGTGTTTAATGGCAGGCATGCTGCGAGTGAGGGGAAAGGAAGGGCGCACGGGCCGTGACACTCGCAGTCCACTCGCAAAAAAATAGAACACGCTTCTAATCACTTTACTACACAGGTTATTAATCACTTGCACTAATCAATCGCTGTCCACACGTGTTTACTCCTAAACACTAAGCACCTGCACTAATCACCTGCACTAATCACTAATCAAAGTGAAAACAGACCCTAAGGTAGGTTAGAGTAATTACTAGCATGTATGTAATTAATATAAGAGTGTAGTAAATTAAAATAGAGATATCACTTACGTTTTCCTCTGAAAGCTTTTTGATTATAGCGTTGCACTGCAAATGTAGAAAACAAAAAAAAACATTTTTGAGATCATTTTTATATAACGACATCTGTTGTGTAACCCAATTAACCATATTATAAAAAAACTATATAGGTACTCGTACTGCATCTAATCTCTTAGTGCTATTTGATAAACAAGTTGTTATAATACATACTCGTAGGTACGTTTGTAAACTAAATTTTTAGTTTGTTTTTCCAAAAAATAACGTAATTTGCATAATTTCCTTTTATTATCCTATTATTTGTATTAGTTCAGTTTATTTCCGCTATTCGTCTGGCTATTCACTGGACAAAAGCAGTGTTTTAATTTTGTTAAAAGTTTTGAAAAATATTAATCAAAATTAAGAAGAAATAATAAGCTATCCATGTATTTTATGTAATTATTGTGTAGTGCCGTGGACGTCGTAAGAGGTGACAGAGGGAGACAAAGTCATAAGATGGGCAGCAGCTGCCTTCTAATAACAAATTAATGATATGAATCTGCGGTTGACAAGCCTCCTGCCTAGCTTGGTAACTTTCGCAAGATTTCCTTCAATGAGAAACAACACATTATAGTGGTGTTTTCTTGGGGATGCCTACATGATCATAATCAATGAAAATTGTTATAAAAACACTTGTACCACGTTTAAAAAGTAAGAGTCTTAATCTTCCTTGTCAAAATATTCTTACGGTCCTTTGCCCTGCATATATTATTCATATTTGGAATAGGTAGAAGTAAAACAAAATAATTAAATCAAACAAATTTTTAGAAATGTATAAATTTAATATTAAGATCATAAAACAACATCTTTGTCTAAAAATAAATTATCCATACAATAAAATGTAACAACAAAACATAATATAGGCCACGTTTTTCTACATCCTAATAAATATCTACAACAGTATTAAATAAAGCAATGCCATTAGCAGAAATATATCACATCTTTTACGTTATATTCGTCTCTTACAAGTAGACTGTCATACTCACTGATAAATTGTTCTCAGAGATGTTTCTATTTTTTTAGCTATTATATAGTGTATTAAACGTTGGTTACAAATCTAAAGTAATTAAATGCAAGTTATAGTCGGAGAAAGTTCTGGATTAATTCACTTTATTTTTAAGGGAATTTTGATTTTATTTTAGTACTGTATCACTGTTATTTATACAAAAGACAGAAAAGCTGTCATCTTTTTTGACGACTATATGTGCTGGAGGATTTTTATTACTCGTTATAAATTAAACATTATTTTCTTATATCTTTATGTATAAAAAGTAGGAATACATGAAATAATAATAATTGTAGCTCTCAATTACCTGAGACAGCTTTATGACTAAAAATTCCTATAGTCTTTCTTAAAGTTACGCTAACTATGTGGATATTATTAACCCATGAATAAAGTTTTCATACGCAGCAGGAATTTATGTTCTCGTGATCATGAAGTGTACCACGTGTGTGCAAATGTCATTTCAAATAAAAATAAGCACGGTAAAATCCGTAAAATTAACTTTATCCAATAAGAACTCCTATTTTTTCTAAATTTAGTATAAAATGCTCCAAAATATTTTTGAACAAGCCATTTAGTCGCTTATGTTTCTAACATTGTCATTAATGATAGAGCTTTGTTTTATAATGACAGCGTTTGTTACTCACGAATTTGTTTTACTCTATTTTTAAATAACTTTGAAGTATTTCATATCAAACATTGAGTAAATCATTAATCTGATTAAAAGATCGTTTTGAAGGTTAGTAAAATGATTTTTTATTATATATAACCTTTCCTTATATCATGAATGATACCATTCTATAAGTATATGTAATATTATGCAATATTCAAAATACTTAAGTGAAATTCGTAAAAGGAAAATATCCTTCAACGGGTGTTAACAGTATGTGATCAAGGAGTGATTTTATGGGGAATATCTTGTACCAGTAAAAAGGCTCGAACGTTCTTGTCGTCTGTTACAAGGAACATTGGTATCAGTTTTATGTTGCTATATTAGGTCGGTATTATGTGAGAACGTGATCTTTCAGTCTCCCCTAATTTTTTATAGGTTAATGCAGCAATAATAATAAGTCCGCCGCACTGTTCCATGGGTGTTGGGGTACTTCATATATTCTTGAAATCATTTATTCCTCAATCATGCTACTTTCCTCACGATGTCGAGCAAGTGGTAAATCAGTACTTAAAATTGTTATTTAGAAAATTCGGCGGGGATCGCTCCGGCTTGCTGGAGTAATGCATAATTCACAGACCATGAATTACCATCGCGTTGGGAATATTTTCTCCAAACAAGACAATGTACATGGTACAGGTACAGGTAGGTCGAATATTATAATTTCTGATTCTATATTAGTAACAGTATCATATTTTTCGATTCTGATGGCGTCGATAATCTAAATTGAGAGAAGACCTATGCCCACAACAGTGGCAACAGTGATAGGAGGTATCATGTGTTTAGCGTCAAGTGATTAGGGTGAGATGAGCTTATCGATCCAGGGCACAAACTTCTGTATGTTGGTGTAGACGCCGGGCAGATGCTCGCGGCCGCAGCCGATGCCCCACGACACAAGGCCGATGAGCGTGCTGCGCCCCTCTAGCTTCAGCGTCAGCGGCCCGCCCGAGTCGCCTTGGCACGAGTCCCGCCCGCCCTGATACACACAGACATAAAAAATTAAATCTAATTTAAGTTTTTTTTTATAGAATATGGGTGATAAACAAACACACAGTCCACCTGATGATAAGTGTATGCTGTGGTCTCAGGGGAATAAGGACTACGATGGAATGCTTTGTTTCCAGTAAATTCTGTTCTCTCTACTCACCATACAGTATTAAACTGTTCTTTTACGCTGGAATTCTGTAAGAGCATGGTCGTAAAAAATCAGCACGCCTGAAAAACTATAATGAATTTATACACGGTAGAGCCACGTTGCAACTATATTATGTAGAATGAACGGGTCGGCTCGACCGGGAAAGGATCATGCTCTCATAGAAATCCAGCGTAAAATAGCAGTTTAATTTTGCTGTATTTCGTGTGGTGAGTGTAGAGAAGTGGAGACCCTTTTTACGTAACGAGGCATTTCATCCCTAACTGAGGATAGATGTGGATGTCTATGCGCCACAGAAACCACTCACCATCAGGTGTGCTCGTTTGTCAGCTTTATTGTAAAAAAAAAAACTTAAATATACATATTAAAATATCTTAAGCGAACCTCAGTGTGGCCTTCTTTTATTTATAAATTAAAAAAGAAGATATACTATGTTGTAACCTCTTTCCCGTAGGGGTAGGCAGAGACCACTTCTTTCCACTTGATACGATCCTAACATACTTGTTTCGCTTCGTTCACTTTCATTATTCGATTTAGGGTACTCTTGACCTGGCTTTTTTCAAGACGTCCCTGATTTGGTCTAGAAACGTCCGCATAGGTCTACCACTTCCAACACTTTTATTCACACTCGCCTTATACACCTTTTTCGTTTTTCATTCATTCTCTCGACACGGCCAAACCATCTCAGCATCCCTTTCTCAATTTTTGTCACTACATCTTCTTTCAGACCACAACGTTTCCTTATCTCATTATTTCTTAACCTGTCACTCAGTTTAACTCTTATCATACTTCTTAACGCTCTCATCTCAACTGCATTTATTTTGCTTTCATGTTTCTTCGGCCATACCCAACTTTCACTTCCGTACATGAGTGTCGGAACCAGCACCCCCTCATGCACAGCCAAATGAGCCTTGTTAGATACCTTCCGACTGCTCACAAAGGAGTGCAAAGCTCCATTCACCATATTTCCTGCATTCACTCTTCTTTCTATATCACTCTCACACTTTCCACATTTTTCTGCGGAATACTAATGTTAGTGCATATTAGAACGATGAAGCAATGAAACTGCTGAAAGTGCGTTTGGCATCCTACTCTTTTGTGAGTGTTATTATATTAGACAAAATTACTTTAAAAAGTGGTAAGCCAGAAAATATTGATTTTGACAGAACAAATAAAAGTTTAAAAAATTGACAGTTGCGTATGAATACCCCAACGTTAAAAATTCCATTATCACCTGTGAGGAATAATATGGAAGGCTTCACATAATGTAATTATACTGGATTTTTGCTTTTAAAACCGTAAAAAGTGGGTCAGATATAAGACGACACCTATTATCTATTGTGATTCCGCCAGCATTTTGTAGCGGTTACAGCACATTTTCTATTATTGTGACCTTAGTTATAGATTGTACTAAGGAGTATATATAGAGCTAGCAAAAATAATACATAGTGAAATACATTTTTTCCGATCTTACCTCTTTGTATCCAGCGCAGAGGAACACGTCGTGTATGGTCTCTCTTCTTCCCGCCGCTCGAAACCAACGCTGGCACCGCTCGTTAGGGATCACTTCTACATCCACCTCCTGTTCAAACAAAAATATTATGAGATAAAAAACTTCTCCTATTGAACACTAATACTAATATATTTTAAGAAACTAAATAATATAAATAATAAAGTTTCAAAAGTATAAAATTAACGACTTATATAAAAATCTGATCATGTGGTCCAGGGTTCGAAACCCGGGTTGGGCCAAAATCAGGCATTGGCTTTTCTGACAAGGAATTCTCAGTAGCAGCCTCAAGTCAGAAAGTTGGCGGTGTCTCACCATCGTGCCTCAGAAAGGCACTTAAAGCCAGCGTCCGCGTCGTAAAAAGTCCTGCGTCTGATCTCTGGTCGTGTAGAATTACCTTCCCATCGGTCTATGAGAGTGCACCTTTTATACGTGGTAGAGCCATGCTGCAGCTATCTTAGTAGTATAGTTGTAGCACGAATGGGTCGGCTCGACCGGGGAAGGACCACACTCTTACAGAATACCAGCGTAAAATAGCAGCTTAACACTGCTGTGTTTCGTATGGTGAGTGTAGAGAACCGGAGACACATTTTACTGGTAAAGAGGCATTCCATCTTAGTCCTCACGGGTGACAACACATCTGCATTTTCATTATTTATTGAGGATAGATGTGGATGTCTATGGGTCACAGCAACCACCAGTCAGGTGGACTGTGTGCTCGTTTGTCACCCTATCCTATAAAAAAAGTTAGCATTCTTTGCCAGTCAACCCATGGCGTGGTGAGAAATTAGTGGCAGGTGATTTAAATATAATAAATTTATATAGATCTACTATATACCAATGAAGTACATCATTACTAAACAAATAAACAGAAGCACTTCTCTATAATTTTGGTTTATACATATTACATGTATATCAACAAATTACATCCATAACAAATTTTTGTACATACTTGCAGTACAGATGGTACAGTACTTTGTCCGTGTCGCGTTCTTCCCCATCCAGCCACTGTAGCTATCTTCCCGGCTAATTTCATCTGCTTTTGTGGTAAGCAAACCTGTAATGTATAATACAATTTTTAAATTTATATCTCTATATATAAAAATCAATAGCTGTCTGTTAGTCTCACTAAAATGTAAAAACGGCTCGTCCGATTTTGATGAAATATTTTGTGTGTATTTGAATGGTTCCCTACATGGTTTAGATTTACATTTGAACCTATTAGGTGGCGCCGTTGTCGAGATCCAGAAATCACCCGTGCGAAATAGGAGCGGTTCGCTAGTATTAAGACGATACCCCGACCAAAACCTTGCCATAGTGCGTTTTTCTTCGTTATTCAGAGACTCATTACTTATGAGTCTCTGAATGTCTCTTATGATCTCATTACTTATGAGAAGTAAACTACATCTAAGAGCACATTATTAATTTTCGATATGCTATCATCACATTCCACGTTTTAATTTGTTTTTATGTGTTATAAATACATTTAAAATCTACTTTTAAAAAATAACTAAAATTATTGATTACATGCATCTGTTGCTAAAGGCAACGCTCTAATCATTTGAGGATTACAATAATAGATAGATAATGAATTCGAAAGATAGTGAATTCTATGATAAAGCGGCGTACGTCTAAAGAGAGAAGGAATGTTCAAGGTTATTTGGTCAGGGAAACGCCTTAAATAAAAATGACACACTAAAACATAATTAGATCAGACATTCTTTTTTTGAAGAAATATGACATTTGTCTCCAACCATGAGGGTTGTAAGTACTATAATAAATTTGTTATGATTTACTTATAGAATATGTATATTATTTCTTTTTATAAAAAAGGGTGCGTTAAGCACACCACCTGATGGTGAGTGCTATGGCCCATAGACATCTTTATATATCCTCGATTAAGAGTGGAAAAGTAAAAAGTGATGCGTTATCATTTTTAAAGGACTAATGAGAATGCCTCGTAACCAGTAAAGACGGTCTCCGGTTTCTACATCATTTACGTGGTATTCTGTAAGGGTGTGGTCCTTTCGCGGTGAAGCCGACCCATTCGTGTAGAACAGCGTAAAATAGCAACTGAAAACCAGCGTAAAATAGCAGCTTAACGCTGCTGTGTTTCGTATGGTGAGTGTAGAGAACCGGAGACCCCTTTTACTGGCAAAGAGGCATTCCATCTTAGTCCTCACGGGTGACAACGCATCTGCATCTTGAGTCTTTATTGAGGATAGATGTAGATGTCTATGGGTCACAGTAACCACTTACCATCAGGTGGACTGTGTCTCTGACTATCATATAAAAAAAATATAAAAAATAAACTATAATATAACCGTACATAGCTCTACCACGTTAAATAATATTAAGTTATAATCTTTAAAAAACAAGTTGTAATCGTAAATGTTTTGTATTGTTAAATTTCATACTTTGCAATCACCACGTTTACTATCACTAGTAAAAAGTCGTTTACAATCACCACGTTTACTCAGAGGATCAGCTTGCCTTATAATTTAGTAAGCGGGTAAATCTAGTTCGATTGCCGCCGGCGTCAATGAAATTTTAAGTTGCAGTTTTAAGTTATAACAAACCATGTCCTCGACGGTGACGTAAGTATTGTGAGGACACCTGATATGAGAAAATTTAAAAAAAACATAAGACATTCCGACGTCATGCATTGGTGTAGTGCAGCGGACTCTTCTCTGTTCTACAATAGTTGGAGAAATATGAAAGGGCTGTGCATACGTCATTAAAACGAATAAATGCTTTTTACTTGACTTTAACAATGTGTTAAGCAATTTAAGGCTCTCTTCAAGCTACCTTGGCTTTTTTTTATAAAATAATATACACAAAAGCGAGATTAACGTCGTGATAAACGTAATTACAAATACTTACGGGTATAATATGCTGTTTAAAAACAACGCCTCTGTCAAGTTGTACCAAAGCGACGTCATTTCTAAAGTCTGCTGGCTCATAAGCTGGATGCACCTCTTTTCGTTGCACCGCGAACTCTTCATGTGAGTACCTCTCACCAGCATCTCTTACGTCCCATTCACCGAGGCGCACTCGAAGTTGGGAGTTTGGTGTCCTGTAAAACATCGCACATAACCTCTTACCAGACCATGAATAACGGAGGAGATTTGTTCATTCGATTCGAGTGGTGTAAGAATATCCACTACCCCATATCGTCCCGGGCGTTTGGTTTTTTTTTATAGAATATGGGTGTCAAACGAGCACACCGTCCACCTGATGGTAAGTGGTTGCTGTGGCCTATAGACATCTACATCTATCTTCGATTACGAATCAAAATGCAGATGCGTTGTCACCCGTGAGGACTAAGATGGAATGCCTCGTTTCCAGTAAAAAGGGTCTCCGGTTCTCTACACTCACTATACGAAAGACAGCAGCGTTAAGCTGCTATTTAAAAAAATTAAAACATGAAAAACCGGTGATAGTTAAAAAATAAATAGTAAGTTGCTCTATTTATTTACAATAACTGAAATGATGGTGATCATTACATCCAACATATCATCTTATTCTATGGGTATTCTATAGTGGCGACGTAAGAGGTTTTATCACTTCTATGTGTCCAGTGGGTATCGTAAAAGGAGACTATAGGAAATAGCAGAAAAGGTAGATAGCTATTTATTGTATTCAGTGTAAACCCGATAAAATACGCAGAACCGCGACAAATAGCAGCCTAAAAAGTTCGAGACGTCTTTTATTGCAATCGATAACCCGCCTGTCTAGAGTGACGTTTACGGCAATCCCACAGTTTAACTTATGTTTTTCGTAGGTTGTGACAATTATTTCCAAAATAACTGAGACTCAGGTCCAGAAGTGTTATGGCTAATGAAAAAGAGAAGAAGAATGTACTACCTAAAGGACTTACACTTACTGAAGACTTATATTTTTACGTGGTACATGCTGCGGCTATGCTAGCTATACACAGCTGTAGCTCGAATGCATCGGCTCGGACGAGGTAAAACCACGCTCTCACAAAATAACAGCGTGAAAGAGATGAACAATGCCACTGCGTAGTGAGTTCAGAGAACCAAAGACCCATAATACTGGTAACTAGGCTTTCCATCGTAGTCCTCAGGGGTGACGAAACATTTGCATTTTGATCTTTAATCGATGATGGATGTATACGTCTATAAGCCATAGTATCCATGTACCACCAAGTAAGTAATATGCTCATTTGTCACACTTTCTATTTAAAAAAATTAATATCTTCACGCGAGTATTCTAACATTTTCCAGAAAACGATTGAATATGACCTCAAATTTAGTACACTTAAGTATTGAAAACAAAATAAAAGGCAGTTAAGTACAGTTAACTTTCCATTATTTTTGCATTAGTATACTCAGTCAACGTTCTCATGATTTCAAAGCAAGCTCCACTGCAACCCGGTTATTAACTTTTAAGGTTTATATTAAGACTTTAGTATTCTCGATAGATTTTGAAATTAAGCATCATTGAAATATTAGTTCAAATTCTGTCATTTGAAACTGCTTTAAGCGAAATAATGCATACTACAGTGTTGCAGATAATGCTTATTAAATTAGATTGCAGAACATAAGCCTCCGCATTGCCCTAAAAAGGGGATATTTGCAATAGTTGCAACACTTCATACGTGGTAGAGCCATGCTGCAGCTATATTAGCAGTATAGTTGTAGCACGAATGGGTCGGCTTGACCGGGGAAGGACCACGCTCTCACGGAAAATCAGCGTAAAATAGCAGCTTAACGCTGCTGTGTTTCGTATGGTGAGTGTAGAGAACCAGAGACCCCTGTTACTGGCAAAGAGGCATTCCATCTTAGTCCTCACGGGTGACAACGCATCCGCATCTTGAGTCTTTATTGAGGATAGATGTAGATGTCTATGGGTCACAGTAACCACTTACCATCAGGTGGACTGTGTGCTCGTTTGTCACCCTATCCTATAAAAAAAAACTTGGTAGGCGGGTTGGCTAACGCAGTTTTTTATATTTTACTTGTTATTTGGAAGACGTTGCTGCATATCTCCTGATTTGTTGCCCTCTGTCGCCTCTTAGGACAAACACAGCGATGTGGGGTAGTGAATAACTTACACTGCCAATACACGGTATGAAATAAAATATATTGAATTATGAAGTATGAAATGAAGTATATGTATGTCATATAAAATATAAATCTTTCTTAAATTCAGGTTAAAGACATTTATTTATCACATAAGAACAATATACAGTTCGCTTAACAGTGATAAATAGTGAATAAATAAAAAAAATCTGCGCTCCAAAACAAGTATAAATTAGAATAAGTAATTGAACAGCCGTCGTTTGAATAATGCAACAGTGCTACATTCTTTCACATAATTAGGCAGCTTGTTGTAAAGTTGCACTCCCTCAAACTTAATGCTTTTCCTTCTTATGTCAGTTCTATAGATAGGCAGCGCTAGCTTTTATCTATTTCGAGTACTTATCGGTGTGATCTTTTAGAAAAAGTAGTTAGGGAATGGGTTGATTTTAATAGTATTTTTTTAACTAGTACGCATGTACTGTATATATAAAGTTTATTTATATTGAGTAATTTAGTATTTTTATAGATTTTATTCAAATTCAAAAGTCGTTATATACAATATAAATCAGAATGTATACTAACGTTGCTACACAATGAGCTGCCGTTACCACCCAGCGGTCAGAGATAAGAGCACCACCGCATGCAAGTTTCTTGCTCAGGAAGCCCGACTTGATGAGAGCAGCCTGCCAGGGATGAGAGCCGAAGCCCGTTGAATGGCCACCAACGATACGATTAGAGCGGGTATAATGCTCTCCGCAGCCTGAAAGTCATAACGCTTCTAATAACAACGAAAGACAAAAGAATTTTTATACTTGATATAGTGAAATATTAAAATAAAATATAGTAAGCTTTAAATAAAAATTAAATTAAACTTTAAATATTAATTAAAAAGAGAAAAATATAAACTTTTAAAGTACACGTACATATAAAAATTTTCAATACATAATATTTCTGAAATAGGCAAATTTGTATTAGACGAAACTTCTGAAGATAATATCAGAATATTTACGTTCAATATTATAATACCGACCAAAGCACCAGCAACACTTGTTAATGCTATAAAAAAAAACATGTGTGATAAAACAAAGCGGGTGCTGTACAAAACAATAAGAAAGTGCATGATGATTATGAAATCGCAGTGCTGGAATTATTTAAGCAAGGAACAGATTGCGAATACTGAGGACTACTAAAGACGAGGAAACTCAATTAAAAAAAAACCTTTATTAGCTTTTTTGTGACATATTGATTTTTTCAATCAACAATAAACATTTTACAAACAAAAAAAAACTATAATTCTTAAAAAATTCTTATGGATTATATTTTTAATTTCTAATACGAGTATGTTGAGTTTATTTATATTTTTATGAACATAGAGTTTTAAACATTACTACGTTAAAGTTTTTTCGCTCTTTTGTTCGAAGGATGGAGATAAATAATTTCAATAACATTTAATTCCATTCTTAATTCAAAATAAAAAAAAAGTAATTTATTTAAAAAAATATATCTAGAATGAAATAACATAGTTGAGTTTCATCGTCAAAGTCAGTTTAAATAAAAAAACCCGAAATATTTTTTTCAAAGTGTTCTCACCAGGGTAACTAGGTTTTTGCGGTTTATGACCGCTTATGTGAACTGGTACATAATCATCATCACCATCAGCGTTATTTTCACCACCCAGAAAGTGGTTTGATGTGTAAAAGTCATCTGGTGTTGAATGTGCTGTGGTGCTTTCATGATACGAGGGCTTCACGTGAAAATAATGATTTTGATCATAGTTTGGTTTATTCCAATCCGGTTTTGGCCGGTTTTGTCCACTTAAATCCAGCTCAGGCCGGTCCGTTATTGGCTTTGGTCGAGTATGATGCGGTTTTGGCCTTTTAGTGACTGTATAGATAATTAATGGATCCTCAAATTGGTTTGTGTCTGTCTGGTAGTCGTAGCTGTCGTGTGGGAATGTACCGATGAGTTCTATCAGATCACCTGTTGTGGAATGTACGTTTCTTCAGTTATATCGCAGAAATATAATATTAATCATTACATAATTTATAATTGAGACTTCTGTGTAATTTGGATTATATATGAAGAGTGTATCTTGAATAATGAAAATGGAAATCGTTCAGAGTACACATCAATTACTTACTTTTAGTCATGAAAGAGTCAAAGAGTCAAAATATAGAAAATATCTGAGACTCTTAAATTATTTAATATTCGTTTACGTAAGTTGAGTAAGAGTTTGATTTTGTTTAAATTTTTTCTTCTTTGCCTAAGTCCACTGCTGCATTTTTAACTGCAGAAATTAAAGGCGATTTGCCCATAAATGAGAGCCTTGTTCGAGATTCAGCAGGCTGCTAGCGTGCGGGAGAGTTTGACAGTTAATAAATAAATATTTTATCATTCTACTTTAACCTAGCGTTAGTTTCAATGAATGTGCATTTAGAGAATGATATTGGATAATAATTTGTATTTACTAAGTGGTATGGCATTAAATGAAATACTATAATTTATAATTGTATTTATGACTAACTGTTCCCCGCGACTTCGCCCGCGTGTAATTTAGGGTTTTAATTATATTGCGCAGAACCCCAATTCTCTTTGTAAAATATAAGTAGCCTAAGTTACTCCCTATGACATCAGCAATCTGCCAATGAAAGTCCCGTCGAAATTGGTCCAGCCGTTTCGGAGATTAGCCGGAACAAACAAACAGACAGACAGATAAAAATTTTAAAAATTGTGTTTTTGTTATAAGTACCGTATATACTTTCATTTAGTATAAAGTTGGTATTTTGACATTACAAACAGACACTTCAATTTAATTTATTTGTATAGATTTCTTTGTCAACAAACCTTTAAGTAAAGTTCTAAGTATACAACAATCAGTATTCTGTTGTTTTTATTATTTTATTAACTTAATTTTATACATATTTACTTTGCATTTATTTTAAGGTATCTATGATTGATTTCATAATGAGAAATGAAGTTCTTAAAACCGACTAAAGTCACCAAGTTTATCTAACTCGCTGGATGTATTCGCAAAAACGCATCTTCGCCTATCAAAAATATCCCCTGTTGGACAAAGGCCTCCTACATACATTACCTCATAAGGGGGATTTTTAGTTGTCACGCTTGGTAGACGGTTAAGCAGTCACATTGTTTTATTATATTTAGTTATTTTTAGTTATCAGAAAGATGCTGCTGTTCCTCGCCTGTTTCACTTACCCTCTTTTTTTATAGGATCGAGTGACAAACGAGCACACAGTCCACCTGATGGTAAGTGGTTGCTGTGGCCCATAGACATCTACATTTATCCTCGTTTGCGAATCAAAATGCAGATGCGTTGTCACCCGTGAGGACTAAGATGGAATGCCTCTTTTCCAGTAAAAAGGGTCTCCGGTTCTCTACACTTACCATACGAAACACAGCAGTGTTAAACTGATATTTTACGGTGGTATTGTGTGAGGGGTATTCTCTGTCACTTCTTACGGCACTTACGGGATGACACACAGTAATGGATATTCACACGCCGCCACTGACAGCAACCGTATAAAACATACATTTGAAACTATTTTTTTAAACGTTACACCCTCACTAGGATTTATTCCTGCACCGTGCACTCAGTTTACATACGTAAATTACATAAGGACATACATCCAGACCCGGAACTATTACTTGTAGGGCATACAAATACTTGTTCCGTGCGGGATTCGAACCCGGCCCTTAGCGCCGTAACTTAATGCTAAGCCACTGCGCCACGGAGCCGTTACACTAACAACACTAACAAAATTATGTTTTTTTGTTAAAATAGGGTATTGGAGAGTATCTACTGCAAATTATGGATATCTGCAACCTACTCCTAGCATAATAGGTTCAATATTTGTATGATTGAACCAAATATCAATAAATTAATTTACTAAATATATCCATATATTATGAACCACGAATAAGATTAAGATTGTAAATCTATACAAATAAATAAAATTGAGGTGTCCGTTTGTAATGTTAAAATAACAGCTTTTTACTAAATGCATACGAAAGTTATATACTTTCGTATCTATACGGTACTAATAACAAAAAAAAAATTTTAAAACTATTGTCTGTCTGTTTGTTCCAGCTAATCTCCAAAACAGCTGGACCGATTTTGATGGGACTTTCACTGGTAGATAGGTGATGTTATAAGGAGTAGCATAGTATACTTTTATTTTAGAAAAAGAATTAGGGTTTCGAGCAAAAAAAAATTAAAATGAATCGTAGAAATCATGAAATCCACGCGGGCGTAGTCGCAAGGGACAGCTAGTTATAAATAATATAATCTTAATCATATTGGTGATTAAAGAAACTTTATTTTCTCAAAAGAAATACATTATGTCAGTTAATGAGAAACTAAAAACGAAAAATGTTTAACAAAAAATTAACTTTGATGGTTATTGATCGCGTTTTAGTTTGAAATATCGACCAAATAAAAGATTTTATGTTATGTAATATTGAAACGGACTGTTTTAATATTAACGAACGGAAATATGAAAACGGACTTAAAAGTTTATTTATGTGACATGATAAACTTTTATCCTTACCATGATTACGCCTCGGAAACTTTTACTTTCGGAGAGTTACGCAACTATTACCGTGTTGACGACAACTTAACTTACTTTATTATAAAAACCCATCATTCGGAAGATTCCATTTTTAATTTAGATATTATTTTCTAGCCTGTTCAAATAGCTATTCAAGATTACAAAACCAGTGTCACTGTGACCAATATTATGATATGTTGTGTTCTGATTCTACATCTACTTCACAGATGAGTCCAGCAATTGTAATTTATTGCAGGAATTTCTTAGTATTTGTAAGCCATCGATTCATTCTCTGAACTTAACAATCTAATTTAATATAAAATGTATTACTTGAGAGATACATTGTGTTTTCATGCGATGGCCAAGTCAGTCTATTTATTTAAAATATAAAAGATTTTTAGTATTGATTTGGTCACTATAATATGTTGTTAGGTTAGCTAATTACGTAATAACTTGAGATAGAAGAACCCTTAAGTAGAGACTGAATAAATCAACTGACTAGGTATTACATGGATCTCACAACTTTTTACGGTAGAACGGAGTTGCGAGATTTGGTTTTTTTAAAAGTTATGTTTTTGATGGCATTTCTATTTTCGCAGGTAATTAAATAAAAGAATATTTTGTGACACACATGCTCCAAGAATTCCAGTTTCCTCAGTTATTAGATACAAAAAAATTATTCAATAATTACGTATCTTGAAATCAGTGTATAGAAGTTTTCTTTGAATCATCATAAATTTACAATCTATTACAATATTAATAAGGATACAGTTTCTTCAAATTGCTGTTGGTCAATATTTTCATATGATTTATATTAAAGACCAAACCGGAAGCGGATCATTACTAAAACGAAAGGTTTCCGTGACTAAATCTCAACGTCCGGATATAAAATGAAACCACATAATTATCATCTATTTTTCGTATCACGTGTCTCTCTTAAGCAGTGTTATTACACACCATTGTATTTACGGTCGAATGAACGTGATACAATTCGAACTTTCACTTAAATTTCACTTAAATCTCTCCGTCTTCAAGATATTTGTGGAAGGTATCGGGTTAGTTAAAACAAAAGGGTTATTCAACCGAAAAGTACCGGCGTTTACCTTATATACTAATTTTCAGTTATTTATTCAATATAACACTAATTGACAATGATATTCTTTTAACTCTTCTTTAGGACGTGATAGAGCCATGCTGCAGCTGAATTTTTGATATAATACGATTGGGTCGGCTTCAGCGGGGAAGGACAACTTTGATAGATTATCAACGTAAAATATAGCATAATGCTACTGTGTGCCACAGCGTCCATTTTCAATCAGGTAATATGGGTGCTCGCTTATCATCACTAATTTTATAAAAAAAAAATATTTCAAATACGCTTGGTGTTACTAGTATAATGAGCGTAGTGAGGTTAAGGCCTTTATACTAGTAAGGGACAGATATATTGTTTTAAAACTAAATATTTTGTATTTCTGCGGAAAAAATAAAAGAAATAAGCAATAATTTAAAATTAAAAATTTTGTACAACCGACTTCAATATATATTTTTTTTATAGAACAAAACTGACAAACGAGCACACAGTCCACCTGATGGTAAGTGGTTGCTGTGGCCCATAGACATCTACATCTATCCTCGTTTGCGAGTCAAAATGCAGATGCGTTGTCAGCCTTGAGGACTAAGATGGAATGCCTCTTTTCCAGTAAAAAGGGTCTCCGGTTCTCTACACTCACCATACGAAACACAGCAGTGTTAAGCTGCTATTTTACGCCGGTATTCTGTAAGAGCATGGTCCTTCCCCGGTCCAGCCGACCCATTCATGCTACAAGTATATTTTAAATATAGCTGCAGCTTAGCTCTACCACGTAGAAAATTATTAAGAATCACTCAAAAACTATTGCTCAAACCTTGATCAAATTTTTATGAAACTACATGAGAAGCACTAGCTTTCAAATAAAAAAAAGTCGAAATCGGTTCACCTAGAAAAAAGTTATGAGGTAACACATTAAAAAAAGAAAAAACCATACAGTCGAATTGAGTACCGTCTCCTTTTTGAAGTCGGTAGAAAATAGTAGGAATTATTGAGTATATTTTGAGGAATAACAGGTTTTCCAAAGGTTTAAATATCATAATATGTGAAATTGTTACAAAGCTGAGTAAATAAGCATTTTTAGTTTGAAGTAGTCACATCGGAAGTGACTATACGCGATAACAATAATTGCTGAGCATCGAAGACTTGAGGCAATCAGTATGTGAACCTCTTTAGAGGGGGTGTAGTCGACAAAGAGAAAGCGGAAATTAATTAATTACCTCCTGACTTACTATCGTTGTTTTGACTTGATTATATTATGGTTGTAATATCGTGGAGTCGTGGTTGTTCAGGGGCTATGCTCGCTGTAAATTTCATAGTACGCGGAAAACCCGAGTTCGATCTCCGGCGTCACCAATGAAATTGTTAATTACAATTTTAAGTGCTGATACCACGTGCCAAACTTTGAAAGAAAACATCTTGAGGAAATAAGAGGGTACATATATCTGTACGTGTGATATAATGTGTGTATAAAGCTGTAACCAACTTATAATATGTATGCTGGAAAATAATGTAATGAAAATGCTATTTTAGCAAGAGAAGAGCTTTTACTTAATCGACTGATAGTGTAAAACTCCCTGTCTGATTTTTACTACATTAACAACTGCTGTAAAACGTCCTAGGTGATGCCATAAGTATACGCTCTAGCACAGAGGCACTTACACGTCATATATAGAAATTTTTAAAACAAAAAATGTGTCCGAAATCCGAGTGATCTAGGTTTTATAATACATGACTACGGAGACACGTGATCTTGGGACAATTTTAAGCCGATGCCTATATCTGTGCGAATTATTATTCTATAAGTCGGTAACACCCAAATCTTCCCTTGATGTTATATTATATAATAAGTGTTAGGTTGTATGTATGTACATAGGAGTAATTAGCAATTGCAGTAGGCACGCACATTTGCGATATTCTTAATTCGATTTTCCGTTCGCAAATCGCCGCTGTGGATGTCGTTATTGAATGATTGAGAATTTCTGAACATAAATTAATCCAGAATTAGATATAAAAACATCGACAAAAGTACTGAAAATATAAATGTTTTTTATAATACCTGTACCTACACTTATTCTAGGTAGTGATAGGCTGAACAATATAGACTTTATGTTATTAAAATATTTCAAATTAAGATTAGAGAAAATACTAAATAGGTGTAACACAAATTTAATAAACACGTTTGCAATTGTTTTCCTTTCAGTCTACTTAATAGTTCAATTATTTAAAAAAAATCAAATTTAACAAATAAAAGTCGCTTCCGCTTTCCTCTTGAGCCAACGAATAGGTGAGAGTGTGCATGTATTGTTATACAAGTATGAAGTATTATTTCATAATTAATTACTGTATGAATTTATGTTAGTACTGTTTATGTTAGTACTGAACTTAGTATTTTGAAATTCCATTCATCATTCATTCTTATACTTCTAGATTCGAGTCGACATCTTTATAATAAACTCCGAAAAATATTGCTTTTACAAACTTCCTTTTCAGATTTTACTTATGACTCATTTCAAATGACCTTCATTAAAAAATTACTATGTCGTGGCGATGTAAGAATATCCACTACACCATTACGTCCCGTAGGTGGCGTAAGAAACGACCGAGGGAAACAAACCAGGATATTAGCAGCACCTTCTTTTAAAATTAACTAAAAAATAAACTGCGGTAATCCTGTAATTATGGCACATGTCCCTCTATATGGCTTTCTATGGCGAAGGCTTATGTTACGCTGTGGCCTTTTTATAAGCTGCCACGGTAACGGTAATAAAAAACAGATATCATTCCTCAATAAATCTTAGTTAGCTCCAAAATTAATACCATTGGTATATTATTTAGTGCAAAGTATATATTTTGTGTGGAAAGATCCTGGCTAGTTCGAGTTAAGCATAAGATTTACATTTTCTTGGGAGATGGAACAACCTGCAAAAAGCGGATGACGGCATTTGATGCGTGCCCGAAAATCGGGCTACTTGATGCCTTAGATTAGGCCTTTATTAAATGGCCCGTGACAGCCCAATGAAAGAGCCAGTTAAAAAGGCTCTACGTTTATAAAATAGTTTATTTTGTTTTGACCATATAATATTGATTATATTTTGTTTAATGTCACTATCAATTTATTTATTATTATACGTGGTACAGCCATGCTGCAATGTTTTCTATCGACTGCCAGAAAAGAAAGAGGTTCTCAATTCTACTGTATTTTTTAAATGTGTTTTTCTAAGTGAATTGATTTTGATCATTTTTTTTAATTAAAAGCTGGTGCTTCTCGTGTGATTCCATATTAATTTGATCAATATCTGACCAGTAGTTTTTGAGTTATCCTTTATAATGCGTATTTAATTGACTTCCGAATACATTAATGATGTTCTCATTTTATTTATATTGATGTTGGTTGTGCAACATTTTTAATTTTACCACTTGTGTATGGTGAGTTTAGGTGATCGAAGATCCTTTTTACTGTTTACGAGGCGTTTCATCTTGGTCCGCCCCCATTCTTAATTAAAGATAAATGTAGATATCTATAGGCACAGCATACTATTATCATTAGGTGGACAGTGTGCTCTTTTGTCTTTATATATCTATAGCGCCTTGTCGCTTATTTTATATAAAAAAAGATAAATGATGTTTTTTGACCGTACCTTTTAGGTATCTCAAAAATAATCACACTCTTTTTATTACAAGCAAATAAAATTATCGTATTTCTTACTTGTAAAATTATATGTACAAAAGTATTTATATTGTATTACTACAAGTAACAATACAATAAAATAAAATCAATTTTCTTTTATTTTTAGCTCACAACATGTTTTACTATTAATTATAAGTAAAAACGTTAATATGTAATTGGAGTTGTGGTTTTTAACGGAATCTCTGTATCTCTAATCTGGCTACGGAATAGTTAAATGTTAAATTCATAAATGACGTTTCGAAAATGAATATTTGATGTCGATATAACCATACCACTACTGTAATATTTAATTCACGGTTTTTATCATCTAAGTACTTAGGAATATTTTGTATTTTCCATATTCTTCGTTACATGTCAGTACCTACTGTGGTAATATTTTTAATTTTTTATGTAGTTACGCTATTAGTATCTAACAAATGCGTGTAAGTGTTAAATGCACAAAATAAAAATATTTGTTGATATCATGTTACTTACAACATTAGCAAAATACTTATGATGTTATTTACGATTAACATTGATTAAGTAATTATTAACATTACTGCATTAAAAAGACGAAAAATTGTATTACTATAACAGTTTGTATGTATGTTGTTCGTATTAATATAATTTATTATTGCAACATTTTTTCAACATCAAGAAATTTTAATACTGGAATGCTAGAGTGAGTCACAGTAGGCAATTTAAGGGTCAAATGATAAAAATATTTTAATATATAATAATTGTACAGGGACAAATTTTAATACTAAAACTCATGATTTATATATTATTCACAAAAAAATTTAAATCACACAGAACCTGAAAACATGTAGTTAGAGACAACCTTTTCATCAAAACAATTTCATACTTACTTGCATTATGTACAATGGGGGCGATCTCGGTGGGCTTCTCGGTGGTATCGCGATCGACACAGCACGCCCAGATCATGCCACCTGAACACAGGTCGAGCGGTTTCCCACCGCCGAGCACGCACGATATGCTTAATCCGCAAGGATATCTCGCTCCCCGGTAGCGGCAGGTTTGTGGGATCACTGTGAAAAGGAAAAATAAAATTATCTAATAAATATTTAAAGTTATTAAAACACATAAAATTAGAAAGAAACATTGATAAAACTACTTTTACGGATATCGTGTTTAATTAACTTATTTTAATTAATTCCCGACGTTTTGGGTGCTTTACAGCATACCTGCTCACGGGGGACTGAAATGATTGAAGTCCCGATACCAGAGTTAACCCGGAGTACCTTCAGCTTTTTTAGATATTAATTTTGGTCCGATCTACGCAGAATGAACTTACTGTGTTTTGAAGTCTTGCAGTGGTATGCTTGGGTTTAGTTTTAATTTTAATTTTATTAATAAAATTGTTGTAAAAGTGTTGTGTTCGCGTAAATATAAGAAATCATTAAGAAAGAAACCAATGAAAATATTATAATTTACGTCTGGCATCAGCAAGATAGTAAGCTTATAGTCGCCCCTCGCGTTAGACTACTATAAAAACGAAAAATATATACGTCGTAATAACAGTTTTATATTTTTTATAGAGCAATCCTTAAAAATAATGATAAAGTTATAAAATAAAAGCATTTATCTTTAAGCCTGAGGTTTTCAGTTGCAACGATATGCATTTTATAAGATTCTCCTTGCCCCGTAAGTGTTTTTTTTTTATAGGTAAGGTTGACAAACGAGCACACAGTCCACTTGATGGTAAGTGACCTCAATAAAGAATCAAAATGCAGATGCGTCGTCACCCGTGAGGACATCGATGGAATGCCTCTTTTCCAGTAAAATGGGTCTCCGATTCTCTACACTCACCATACGAAACACAGCAGAGTCAAGCTGCTACGATGATATTCTGTGAGAGCGTGGTCTTTCAACGGTCGAGCCGACACATTCGTGTTACAACTATACTACTAATACCAGCCAATAACGCTTTTAGTTTTTAAATAAATTACCAAATTTATCTACTGAATAAATACTATTTGAAAATAATCTATCTAAGTACCGATATTTCAGTCGTGGGATAACAACTATAGCCTGACTGAATATAACAGTGAAATAATTGAACTATTTTATTCATACAACTGTAATTTTCAATTTGTTTATGTTGTATTTCATCCTATCAATAAATTTTTAACAGAGGGTTATAAAATCGGCCCTAAGTAAACTAACAACTATCCTTATTAACGTCATAAACGAAGTTGAGACAACTGTTAATCTTTGATTATATACAGAACGGGTAATATTACTAACAAATTATTATTTTAAGGCTAAATAGTTTGTACATGGTAATAACCCTTACAAATTTATTCGTTCATTACATCATTATCAAAATTTTCTGCTGAACGTGCGTCTCGCACTTAAATTACCTCATAGAATTTGGCGGATTGGAAACCACAATTTTATTTTATTTTAATCGATGATAAATGACAATGGCCCACAGTATTTGCCTTACCATCAGGTGGACTATATGCTAGTTTGACAACTTTAATTTTGTTTAAAAAAAGTATCCTATTTGTGTTGTTGTGTAAGAATATCCCCTACCCCATATCATCCCATGAGAAATGAATAATGACAGAGAGAAATGAATCAGGAGGTGGGCAGCAGCGTCTTTATAATAACGACTAAAAATAAAAACTGTGGCAACCGCAGTTTCTATTTTTAGTCGTTACGTCTTAACAAGGTACGCTTAGTTCCTTTTGTTTTGTTAAATCAGTGGCAGGAGTAAGGGAGAAAATTACGGTAACGGCACGGAGGAGCAACGTTATTTTGAAACGTATCCAGTCACCGTGACTTTAAGGCTGATCACGGTGACTTTTTCACCGTGACGTTATTTATCACTCATGTCTAGAGGCAACAGAGGTAAACAAATCAGGAGATGGGAAGCAGTGTCTCCCTAATAAAGACCAAATAAAATAAACTGCGGTGCCAATCCGCTTACCAAGCGTGGCAACTATAATTTTTTTTTATAGGATAGGGTGACAAATTAGCACACAGTCCACCTGATGGTAAGTGGTTGCTGTGACCCATAGACATCTAAATCTATCCTCAATAATGAATCAAAATGCAGATATGTCACCCGCTAGAACTAAGATGGAATGCCTCTTTTTCAGTAAAAAGGGTCTCCGGTTCTCTAGACTCACCATACAAAACAGCAGTGTTAAGCTGCTATTTTACTCTATATAAATATCTTCCCTATAAGGCAATCTATGGGGAAGGCTATCTTCAGTAACTGTGTTGTGATAGTGCACGTGGTAATGTTATAGATTGCAGGCAAGCTATTTGAATAAACATGGCTTGCTTAATTTATTCAATTTGAATTTAGAAGAAATTTATTCGAAATTCAATTAATTTGTCACAGATGTCGTTGGACAGTCCCTCGGTACAGTTGCTATACGAAGCATGAGATTAAAGGTTGGTACATATAATCATAATTCCCGCCTGCACCATATATGCACAGACTAATCTCACTCATTCTCATCATTATTAGTGTCAAACACCGTTATTGTAATTGATCAAGAAACTTTCATCATCGTTATAAAATTTTACAGACATAAATCATGACAGTATGATATATAGCTAATATGTAAATGTCTAGCGATAGTAAAAGCGTTAATTTGCGTTTAATAGTGAAAATGATCAGTCGGTCGTTCACCGCTGTCACGAGCTATACTTATTGTAGATGAATTAGAGCGTGTTCGCGTGTCAATTGTATACTTAATAATGTATTTTTATTAAGTTATTGATCTCTTTTCAATCGCATTCTTAGGTTTATAATTTGTAAAGATCAGTAGGTACCTACCATTTTGTAGAACGCGTATCAGTTTAAGTTGTAATAATAATTAAAAAGAGTATGTTAGTAAGATTAACAAAAATGACATTTCTGGTGGAACCTATAAAAGTATAGAACCATATAATCAGGATCATCACAAGGCTTCTACTGAACATAGATCTCTAATAAAGACATACACAAAATACAGTCAAAACGCATATGCTATAATTATCGACCGGTACACCTATTTAGAATGGCAATTTCAAACTTATTACACTTTTTTTTAAGAAGAGCTTCTGTTTTATTAGTTTACAAAACTAAATAATTACAAATAAACAAATATTTGTCCCTATTTGACCACTCATAGGCCGTTCGGCAGTGGGCTTTAATAGGCTGAAGAGTAACGGTCAACTTTTTGTCCACTCACTGCTACATTTTAATCGTAGTAGTTGATAAATTAGATTTTTTAAGATTCCAGTATCGATTTTAGTTCATTTTGCCTGCGTTTATGTGTGTGTAGGAGCTTAGTGTTGTTGTTAGTAATATTATTTTTGTTAAAATACCTTTATGTATAAGAAAATTACCAGTAAGGTATATAGCAATGATTTCGGTTATATTGGACAACGGTAATCGGTTACAACTTTTGGATTGAAAACGTCGTGTGCCATGCACGAAACGTATGCGTAGTGCATGCTGCACCTACCTGCCAATCTGACAAATAGTCTAGTCTATGCTTATCGGTGACAGAATGGTCTTGTGGGTGTTGTCGCGCATTAATTTATTCAAAGAACATTTTTGTTGCATATGCTGATACGATCCAATGTGGTTACAATCATGGTATGGAACGTTGTAGTGGGTAGAAAACCTTTAAAATAAAATACATAAACATTTTAAAAAGAACTCTTTGAAATAATAGGCAAACTCTTTTGTTTCGTTTTTAAATCGTCAACATGTTCTTTAATCGGTAGTATATTCGAAATTAGATTCCACTGCTAGTAGAATAAAGGTGAAAAAGAATTCCACTATTAGTCATTTTAATTAAGTATGTCACACATGATTATCAAATATTAAAAAACATTTTTTTTTAAATTAAATTGCAATGATTAACGAATTTACAATCCACCTGATGGTAAGTGGTTATTGCAACCCATCGACACCCGCAATCAGCAGCACTAAGAACGGTACAGATGCGTAGTCACTTTTGAGAACTAAGATGGAACGTACAACCTGCAATTGTACTGGTTCTCTGTATTCTTTAGACCGCAACACAGTAGTTCAAGTTAACACTGTTATTTGGTGGTAGAAATAGAAAAAAAGGTGGTGCCAACCCAGACAAACTCCTAGGCAGAAAAAGTTCAACCTAGTAAAAAGATTCTAGTTTATTAAAATGATAATTTAAAATTAAAAAATTTGTACAACCGACTTCTATATAAATTATTAAAAATAACTCAAAAACTATTAGTCAGACCTTAATTGAATTTATATGGGACCACATGTGGAGCACCAGCTTTCAAATAAAAAAGGAATCATCGAAATCGGTTTATCCAGTAAAAAGTTATGAGGTAACACACATAAAAATACATTCAAATTGAGTACCGGCTCCTTTTTGAAATCGGTAGAAAATATGGCCACTTACACCAAGTATATAAAAGAATAATGTGAGAACATTTTATATTATGTAAACGCAAAACATCACACGGCTATCGGAAATGTTTAGAGTAGCTTCAATTCGTTATTTTTCTTATTTATTCATTATAAACATTTATGTTTACGTAAGTTTCTTAATCAGAAAGATTTTTAAAATTGTCCCATAAAAAAGAACACTGTTGCCTGAGATACAAGCTTATTGCTTGGTTCAGGCGCAGCTGGAAATTTATTATTATTATTGCCTATAAACTTATGTAATAAATATTACAAAGGCTTTTTGGAAAGGAGTTAACGCATGATACTCGAGTAAAATTTTATACGTGGTGGAGTCCAGCTGCAGCTATATTAGTAGTATGGGTCGGCTCGACCGGGGTAGGACCACGCTCTCACAGAATACCAGCGTAAAATAGCAGCTTAAAACTGTAGTGTTTCGTATGGTGAGTGTATAGAACCGGATACCCTTTTTACTGGAAAAGAGGCACTCCATCTTATTCCTCACGGGTGAGAACACATCTGCATTTTGATTTGCAAACGAGGATAAATGTAGATGTCTATTAGCCACAGTAACCACTTATCATCAGGTCGACTGTGTGCTCGTTTGTCACCCTAAATAAT